CACACACACACACACACACACACACACACACACACACACACACACACACGCACTACTGGTCCAATCACATGAGCTTACCTTCAGACATCTGTCTCATGCTAGTCTACCCCTACATCCTCGGGGGAATGACATGCATTTGGAAAACTCCACAGTTTTGGTTTGCACATGTGTGAGGCATTATAAACTTTTTCAGGGTTTGCTTTGTGTGTGTAAAAATGCTCTTAAGCCTAATTCTCATGATCATGTTTTAATTTTGTTTCTATAAATACTGTTCTTAAAGTTAATTACAATAACAGGTGAGTTACTAAATTTCACTTACCTTGACACAGAGTCACTGAGGCCAGAAAAGACAGCAGGAGTGCCAGTTTGGTTAATTCCATCCTTGTCCTGACAATCTTTTTTTATAAATATATCTCTCTAATTAATTGCAGCGTTGATTCTAACGTCAGCTGGCTCCTCAGCTCTTGGACACAGCTGAGCAGGAGCTGCTTCTGTTCTCCAGGTGAGAGTGATGCTGCTGCAGAGACTCGCCCACGTCTCCTCCTCACACGAGTTCAGGAGCTGAGTCAGAGACAGGAGCTTTTTAAAAGAAGGGGCTTCAGGAGTCCACACCAATCCTGCCCCTCTCTCCTCACGATTGGCCAATGAAGTTTAACATCTGAGTCCCCCATACCATGGGCCAAAAACAAAGAATGGTTAGGGTCTGGTGGGGGTAGAGAGGGGAAGATGAACACACCCTTTGAAAAGAATGGAATGTGTTTTGGTTACTGGAAATAAACGTTGTTTTTCTCCCGTTCTTCAAAACAATCTTCTGTTATTTATGGCCTTTATATGGCACTATTTATTCATTTATTTATTGCTCGCCTGCCTGTATGTTATTTCAAGCCTGTTGTGTAGCAGTGTTACGTATATGTTCAACAGGTGTGTGTTTATGTGTTTCCCTTTTTGAATCTCTCTTCTGGTTTCCTTGTCAAACATGACATAACTTCCTGCACGTTCAAACGTTTAAAAATAGTCGTTTTCTTTTAAGTTGTTTTTTTATCTGAAATGTTTTAAACAGCAACACTCAAAAAGTCAGATGTTTTGGATTTACTTTACCAAGTTATGTCAACCAGCTGAGTTGAGCAAACATAAAACAATTTTCAAGTCTACTTTAAAAGTAAATGTGTAAATGTAAACCTGTTTTCACACTTACTTAAACATACAAGTGTTATTGTAAAGCAAATTTCACACTTGTGAAAATTACTTTACAGTAACTTAACTTGTTGAATGGAACCAGTTAAAATAAGTTGGTTAAATAAATCCAACATATCTGTTTTTTAATTAAGTTTCAAACTTTGGCTTTTCAATCTTCCTGTTTTGGCTGTTCTCTCTTYAGTGATTGTCACACTGTTTTCTCGCTATCCTCACTCCAACTACTTTGTACGTACCTCCATGTCCTATTTAACTGCATTTCCTCTATGCCCATTGTCCCTTCTCCTCTGAGCCTTCTCCTCCATGGCCCCCAGGCTCTGGAATGAACTTCCTATCCATCTGCGCACGCTTGAGAGCATTGATTCATTCAAGAAATATCTGAAAGCRCRCCTCTTTAAACAAGCTTTTAACTAACTAATTTCAGCATTTTTCTGCAGCCTGACCTTTTAGTGTCTGTTTAACCAAACCCTACCTACCGACCATACAATTCATCATATTAATATATATATGTGTGTGTGTGTGTGTGTGTGTGTGTGTGTGTGTGTGT